GTCTTGAGGGGGGGGGGGAAAGGGGGCATGATTCCCCTTGGTAGCTATGATCTCAGCGATCCAAAAAATCCTTGAATTGCTGATCGTAAAAGATCAACAAAACTCGCCCACTGTTACAATATATTGTATGATTTTAGTGCTTTATTGATGAGACCTTATGTTCACAATCAAATAGAAGAAAATCTTGTTCTAGCGGAGAACGGAAAGGAAAACATCCAACTTAAAATTTTATTTTTATTTTGAAAAAAAAATTTTAATATTTTTTCAAAATTTATATTTTTTTTCTAAATTTAAATTGTTACCGAAGAAATAATAACTTGATTTATCCGATTATTCTCTTGTTATTTTTGAGGAAATAACCGGACTCTGTTTGTCTTAAATGACGTGAATGTATAGTTTATTATCTAAAATATTATTAGCTTTAAATGTGTTATCTATACTTTTATTTACTTTCAGATTACAGCTTATACAAACAAATTAATCCCTTAGATTATAATTTATAATAAATTAGATTGAGATGTTTTGTTCAGGCATTCCATGGCTGGAAGGATCCTCCTGTAACGCCAATTCTTAAAATTTATTTTTTTAATTTAACAAATTCTGTTGAATTTTTAAATGGTGCTAAACCTATTGTTAATAAAGTTGGTCCTTATGTTTATCTTCAGGAGATTCATAAAACTAATGTCAGGTTTGTTTTAAAATTGTCTTAATAAAAAATTAACTTTTTTTAAACAAATCCACGCTTATAAGCCACTTATTAAAAGTTATTTAGTTCTAATCTTTAAAGTCTTTGGTCAAAACATTTGCATGAGATAGCGCCAATCTAAAGCAATTAAGTTAAGCTGAAAGGAACTGTAAGCGTAATTTCAAGCGACCTTCCATTAAAAAAAAAAAAAAGATAGGCATGTCAGATTCACAACGGTACACTTGAAACCTTTTTCCGGACAACGATAAGGTAGAAACCCTAATTTGTGCAGCTGATGATTGAGTGCCCGGGGGGAGACTCGAGGTTACAGTGTACTAGTGTGCTAGTGTACACTCGCGCTTTTTCTTGCCACTATGATTTCTCGCTCTATAAATAGATCTTATTTATATAGCGAGAAATCATAAATATTTATAAGAATATCTACGATAACTTGTTCAGACAAAGGTTTAAAAGGTATTGTTGTAAAACGGACATGACACTCTATAAATGGTAGTTTACTTGAAATTATTTTTAAATCCCTTTTATTCAGAAAATATATCTGATTCGTTTACTTCATGATCTAACATTGATTAAAAAAGACCATTTAGTCAAATTTTAACTTTTTTTAATGATTTTTTTAAATTTCGGGAGTAGAATTCATTAAAGGAATTGAGTCTTTGGAACAAAATCAAATATTTAAACCTTAATATCTTTAGAACTCGATGTTGTAAACCTTTGATATTTCAAACTCAGATTATTTGATCTAACAGAATTCAGAGTTTGAAATATTTAAGGTCTGCAACATTTGGTTCCAAAGATATAGTGATTTTAAAATCAGAGTTTGTGGCAAAGACTCAATTCCTTTATGCATACTCTATTGACGATATTTTAGTAAGCATTTTAAATTTAATATAGTTATTTATTTCAGTTTTCACGATGAGGGTGAGAAGGTTACATTCAGTGATAATAAAACCTATTATTTCTCTCCTGATCTATCTACAGGATCTGAGACAGATCAGCTGATCCTACCCAACCTACCCCTCCTCGGAGCTATTAAGAAGTTCGGAAATGATCTCACAACTCTCTCCCTCTTCCTAAGTATGCTCAGATCAAAAACATTTGGAATAGATAAGGGACCGTTCTTGAACTTAAATGTGAGGGAATATCTGTGGGGATATCCATCCCTTATACTCTCTATAGCGGAGAACCAGGCTTGTGAGAGTAGTAGAGTAGAAGAGTTTCAAGGACGAGGGTTCGAGGACGACTGGGATAATTGGGACGACGAGGAGGAGGACGAGAAGGAAGAGGATGTCCGTTCTAAAGCAGGCAACAATACCAATAAAAGATTCACCATGCATAATCNTATTCGTCAAGTGCTTTGAAGTACGTTGTATATATATATATGTACAACTTCTTTAAATTCGACCTCAGGTTCCAATACCCATTTTTAATTATTAATTCCTTGCATCTCTGGTTGAAATACTCATGATGCATTAAAGAGGATTATAAAAGAAACTGATTACTTCCCTTAAACTTTGTATCTTCATATATCCAAGAAGAGAATTAGAAACCTACAAATCCAGGCAGGAGGAGGAAATTAAAATTAAAGCAGTCCTATTTTTTCTTTTCTCTCATAAAAGAAATTGAGTTTTTGCCACATTTTCTAATCTCTATTTCTTTGCAATCGGATAATGTAAACCTTTGATATTTCAAACTAAGATTAATTGATATAACAGAATTAATAGGTTTAAATATCTAAGGCCAACGACATTGGCTTGCAAAAGAAGGGATTAGAGAATAGAGTTTGTGGCAAAAACTCAATTCGTTTCTAAAAAATATTTAATGGGTTTCCTGTGAATGTGATCTCAGTAATACGCATACAGTCCATTTAAATGACGGATATATTATTGGTATAATGTTGTAAAGGTGTTGAAGAGAACTGTAGAATTGATCCCTTGAACCTAAACAAGTTTGGATTGTTTTTAAACACCAATGGGACAGTAAGGAATCAAAGAACAGTGCATACGGGAAAAAATGATTTAAGGTCTGTATAGTTTTTAAGTAACATAAAAAAACATCAATATCGTGTATACGATATTCAGAAAAAAGCTTTATCTTTCATAAAAAGTCTGATTTTTATACAACACATAGTTTCAGAAGAAGGAAATATTTCCATTTACTGATAGCGCCGATTGAAGGATTCATAACTCTGATTGGATAATGAGATAGATAGAAAGATAGATGTTACCGTCAAACTATTTCTATTGGTTCAGAAAAGACAACAAACACATGACTGAACCCTGATTGGATCAGGCGCTAATGGACTCGGCATACAGGAGTGACAAAAAGAAATTAGTTTCTGACACAAACTTAAAATTTCAAAATCCCTGTATATATACATCTTTGTAACCTGAGCTGTAAAAGTTTATGGAATAAAAAAATCTGAGTTTGTGACAAAGACTAAAATGTTTTTACAATGCATTGCAAATTATTAAAAACAAAGACTAAAGTTATCAAAAGTCTTATCAAATTTATAATGATAATGAGTTTAATCCGATCATGTAGCTGCTGCAGCATTTCGGATAGATTATGAGATAGACAGCTTTGCAAAATTGAAACAATTTTCGAGACTAGGTCAACTTTAAAGTGTCACACGGCATTGGTAAAAAAGAGAAATAAATTTTATAAAATTGAGAATTTTGCTATTTACTTCTTGAAAACTAAAGTTTAAGCCGACCCGGTCTTAAAATTTGATGCAACTTTTCGTAGCAGAATATCTTGCGGAGTTAAACTTTAGAATATCTTAATTTAAGTTAACCTTTTAAACAAACAATTTTGTATTTTCTAGAAAAGTAGTTCTCTAAGGAGCCATTTCAAACACATTTAATTTAATAACAAAAAAAGGTTAATCTCAAAGTTATTGCCGAGTAAAAAAAAATAAACTTCCATCCGTCACTGTCATCTTGCCAGGCGAAACTTGTTGCATAAAATGTGGTGTTAAGACTTTACACTCGGCAGTCCAGACTGGACAACACGGCACAATTTATATACAGTACAAGTTGTACTGGCTCGAATCTCGCAACTTTTAGATTGGGATGCTGTCGTGGTTTTAGCTTAAAAAACTTTAATTTGTAGAAAGCTATTCTTTTTAGATTAAAGGGAATGTACTCGAGTATTGGTGGAGAGTCTCGAATTAGTTCCTGGTCTAATGAATCCTGCAATCTGCTGGATGGAAGGGACCCAGGAACTCTCACTGTCGATCTCAAAAAGGAATTCATAATTTTTAAGCAATTTTTTTAATTACAGGATTTGACGTTTTGCCACAAACTTAGATGTTCTAATTCCTATATCTTTCCAACTATGATCAAATGGTCAAAGTTTGAAATATCAAAGATTAATTAGTGGAAAAAATTAAAGAATTTGAACCGCGTCTCAAAACCGACAATAACTGGTTTCAATTGAGCGCCGGCTCAAATCTCGAAACACTTATTCACTCACTCACTATCGATCTCAAAAAGGAATTCATAATTTTTAAGCAATTTCTTTAATTACAGGATTTGACGTTTTGCCACAAACTCAGATGTTCTAATTCCTATATCTTTCCAACTATGATCAAATGGTCAAAGTTTGAAATATCAAAGATTAATTAGTGGAAAAAATTAAAGAATTTGAACCGCGTCTCAAAACCAACAATAACTGGTTTCAATTGAGCGCCGGCTCAAATCTCGAAACACTTATTCAAATTTCAAGTTGAACAAACCATATTGCATCCGTACAACTTCTTTAAATTCGACCTCAGGTTGCAAAGAAAAATTAAAAAACTTAAGTTTGTACCACTGAAATTATATATTATATAAATTTCAGTTTAAACCTTAAAATTTTTTTTTGTGCTAAAATTCTTGATATTTCAATGTTTGATTTTAATACTGTATGATCCACATGAAGATTATCATTTTTCAACCCTTCATGTAAAAACAAAACTGATTTATAATTTTACTGAGTAAAGGAATTAGGTTTTTGTCACAAATCTGATTTTTTTATTCCTATATCTTTGCAACGCAATGTCGTAGACCTTAGAAATGTCCAGCTGTTATATCAAATAGTCAAAGTTTGAAATATCAAAGGTTTACAATATCAGGTTGCAAAGATACAAGGATGTCAAAAACTCAATTCCTTTCTGATATTTGAGTGGATCAGTGCAAATATTTTGGGTCTTATTACCAGATAAGATAAAGGATTAAACGCTCTTTAGTTTACTGCCAATAGTTTTGTTTTTGTATTAGATTATATATAAACATCAGCTTCTGAACTTACACTAAATTAGATAGATGAAAAGGTTTAAGTGTAAATGAAAAGTTTTGAAGTACTAGGCTTTAAGGGCGCTTTGCGCCCATCCTATATCTTAATTTTTGATTATAGCTCTATCTGTGAGTATCTTCTCTTTACATGGCATTAAACAAAAACAAAAAAGTTCGTCGATTTTCAAATAATTTTTCGTGCATTTATAAAATTTCACAAAAACCAAAGTATGTATATTCATAGTATATAGATGAATGAAAAGTTTAAAAGTATGAATGAAAAGTTTAAAAGTATGAATGAAAAGTTTAAAAGTATGAATGAAAAGTTTAAAAGTATGAATGGAAAGTTTAAAAGTATGAATGAAAAGTTTAAAAGTATAAATGAAAAGTTTAAAAGTATGAATGAATACCAGGATGAGCCCCTGGGCCTGTATTTCCAGAGTTTGTGTCGAAGAATAAACTTTAGATATATGAAAACAATTCAACACTATGGTATAGATGCTTACAGGTAAACTTTTTAATAAATAGAATTTACGACAAAGGCATGAAAGATTGAAATATTTAATGTTTTCTTATAACTTTTCTTCTTAAAGAGCTATTGATAAAAAATGTTTGCATTGCTAGACTATGATTTATTAAAATTTTCCTAATATTTAATATTAAGAGAATGCTTGAATCAGTTTTATGTTTTGATCATTTTTATCAATTCAATGCCTTGCATGTGTATTGTATTATGTATATATATACTCCTATATATTTAATGTTCAAACTACACCCAAATTTTGTTGCATTCAAGTTTTTTTAATGATTTTTACTGACGTCCCTTGTATGCAAACATTGGCGGTTAGTGGAAAGATTTTGTTAAATTCTTTTTTCATGAAAATAAGAATTTTTTATAAATATGTTTACATATCATCAAGCCACCACCAATCCTTTAACTAGATTGTTTATTTTATTCTAAATACACTGCCAAAATATATACTCCCTAAATATACTCACTAAATATACTTCCTAAATATACTTCCTAAATATACTCACTAAATATACTCCTTAAATATACTCCCTAAATATACTCCCTAAATATACTCCCTAATATACTCCTTAAATATACTCCCTAAATATACGCACTAAATATACTCACTAAATATACTCCTTAAATATACTCCTAAACTAAATACCCCCCTTATGATTTGATACAAATTAGACAAAGTAGCACAGCAGGGATAGGGTTAGGGTCCCCTACGTAACTTGTCTACTTTCGTTGCTGAAAACTATGAAAAATCTGTTTGAGCCTTTTGTGTTGAATTGAATATACAGGGTTGGTTACCCACAAGGACTGCACGAGTTTAATGACGACCTCAAACTCTTTAAGAATTTTCTGTCAATTCCAAATTCACAATGCTACCCTTGAAATCTTGATCTGATGAAAATTTTTTTTCTAGATTTAAAAGTGTTTAATTCTGATACTAACCATATGTGTTCCTGTAGTAGAAATGCGCAATTGTCCCTTTTGTAGAGACACCACAAAAATAATCAGTTTTCAAAATTATAAACATTGATATCTAGTTTATACTTGATAGGTCAACGCTTGCGAAGGGTACCGTTGTGAATCGAGCAATGCCATCTTTGCATGGAGGGTCACTTACAATTACAAACACAGTCCCTCTAAGAGGTGCCCGGAACTTATTGTGAAAAAATCAAAGAAATCCGTACAGTCGTCTCTGAAATCTCATCCTTTGAGGGAAACCTGGTATGCCTGTGTGTAATAGCGGTTCGTAATCATAAATAATTTTTATTCAATTAGCAACACGAGTGAGGATCGAAAATTTGTCCAGATTTTTCCAGATCTAGTTTAGTTTATGTGAAAAAGTACAAATTTTAATCACTGCACTGAGTACAGGCCTCTCTGTAAATACTATCTTATCATCTTATTCAATATCATTTTAAAAAGATTAGATTATTTGTCAAGTGCTTTGAAGTACGTTGTATATATATATACAATTGTATAATTTAATATTATAAAACTAAGTTAATGATTGTTGCTGGGTAACGTTTCGTTAACGAACAGGTAGTTTTCAAATGAACGGAAAACGTGGTGAACGAACGGAAACCCGCGGCAATTTTCAAATCGTTAACGTTTACAAATGCAATGCCAAAAAAAAACAAATACATCTTGAATATTGATACAATATTGTGCGAATCTGATTTTTTGCCTGTCTTTCCAAAATTTTGCAAAAAGCTCTGAAAAAAACTAATGCTACACAATACTTCTCAGCTCAATGTCGTGGACCTTAGATATTTCAAATTAATAATCTAAGATTTAAATGTCAGACGTTTATATCATCATAACCTTAATTTATTCTAACATTAACTTAAACATTTGATGATCATAACAACACAACATTGTGTAGAAAAACATTAAATCATCAATGTTTAATTTTTAATGATTTAGATTTTCCCCGGTCGAGGAAACATTTAACTCTGGTTCAGAGTCAGGTTCCAACTCTTGCTACTGCTCCAGGCCCCCCTGCCCTCCTTCAGGAGTTTTTGATCTATCACAGGGGTGCAAGGTATTTAATATATTTAACCTGACTACCACTTGCCCTCCTACAGAAGCTATTGATCTATCACAGGGGTGCAAGGTATTTAATATATTTAACCTGACTACCCCGTGCCCTCCTTTAGGAGTTTTTGATCTATCACAGGGGTGCAAGGTATTTAATATATTTAACCTGACTACCCCCTGCTCTCCTTCAGGTATCACAGGGGTGCAAGGTATTTAATATATTTAACCTAACTACTTCCTGCCCTCCTTCAGGAGCTATTGATCTATCACAGGGGTGCAAGGTATTCAATATATTTAACTGGACTACCCCCTGCCCTCCTTCAGGAGTTTTTGATCTATCACAGGGGTGTAAGGAATTCAATATATTTAACCTGACTGCCCCCTGCCCTCCTTCAGGAGCTATTGATCTATCACATGGGTGCAAGATATTTAATATATTTAACCTAACTATACCCCCTGCCTATCACAGGGGTGCAAGGTATTTAATATATTTAACCTAACTACTTCCTGCCCTCCTTCAGGAGCTATTGATCTATCACAGGGGTGCAAGGTATTCAATATATTTAACTGGACTACCCCCTGCCCTCCTTCAGGAGTTTTTGATCTATCACAGGGGTGTAAGGAATTCAATATATTTAACCTGACTGCCCCCTGCCCTCCTTCAGGAGCTATTGATCTATCACATGGGTGCAAGATATTTAATATATTTAACCTAACTATACCCCCTGCCCTCCTTCAGGAGTTATTGATCTATCACAGGGGTGCAAGGTATTTAATATATTTAACCTAACTACCCCCTGCCCTGCTTCAGGAGCTATTGATCTATCACAGGGGTGCAAGGTATTTGATATATTTAACCTGACTATACCCCCTGCCCTCCTTCAGGAGTTTTTGATCTATCACAGGGATGCAAGGTATTTAATATATTTAACTTGACTACCCCCCTGCCCTCCTTCAGGAGTTTTTGATCTATCACAGGAGTGCAAGGTATTCAATATATTTAACTTGACTACCCACTGCCCTCCTTCAGGAGCTATTGATCTATCACAGGGGTGCAAGGTATTTAATATATTTAACTTGACTACCCCCTGCCCTCCTTTAGGAGGTATTGATCTACCACAGGGGTGCAAGGTATTTAATATATTTAAAGAGACAAGAGCCAAATTATCAGGTGACCCCTCCATTTATTGAATGTTATGGTCGATTCAAAAAAGTACTACATATTTAAACTTTTGTTTGATCAGAAATGAATGAGATATTTTTACAACTTACAACCAGTTCCAAATCATAAACTAACTTTACAACAACATAGTTACAACTTACAACTAGTTCCAAATCATAAACTAAATGTACAAATACAACAACTAGTTACAACTTACAACCAGTTCCAAATTATAAACAACTGTACAAACACAACAACTAGTTACAACTTACAACCAATTCCAAATCATAAACAACTGTACAAACACAACAACTAGTTACAACTTACAACCAATTCCAAATTATAAACTAACTGTACAAACACAACTACTAGTTACAACTTACAACCAGTTCCAAATCATAAACAACTGTACAAACACAACTACTAGTTACAACTTACAACCAATTCCAAATTATAAACTAACTGTATAACACAACAACTAGTTACAACTTACAACCAGTTCCAAATCATAAACTAACTGTACAAAAAGTATGTTTAAGTGAGGCTCATTATCAACCTTCGCAAATTATTTTTGTTTCTGATAGAAGAAAGAAATCAATTATTAATTGAATTATAGTATTTTTAAAATTTTTAGAAACTCTTAATATCTTTAAACTAAAGCTTTCAAAATTCGTTCTTTTTGATTTTCTATAAAATAAAGAGCTCACGTGGATTTAACGGTTCTGACAATATTCCAGAAAGCTGTGATTTTTGATCACAATTTGTTCTGTTAAACACAATTTTTTAGCCTTTTTTCTCAAATACTTTTTTGCCGGCATAAACATTTTGAATGAAAAGTATTATACAAACAAATCCGTAAGTTTAAAGATTTTTTAATTATAGACCAAAACGCATATGATTTAAAATGAAACCTGTATGCCTCTAACTCTGGTTAGTCCGGGGGGAGCTGCGAGGTCACAAAAAGATACAAGCAATGTCTCCTTCCGTCTAGTTTGCAGTAAGGATCTTGTTTTAAAGTAGCGATAATTCATCTTTTTTATTATTCACTTTATTTTTAGGAAAACTCCCCTGTGTTGATGTCATGGCCTCACTTCCTATACGGGGATCTAGAGCTCAGAGAAGGAGTTGATGGGATACCCCCACCTGACAGGGATATATATATATATATTTCTTTATTCATACCATAACAACCCTTAAATAACCGTTATAATTCAAGAAAGGAATTAAGTTTTTGTCACAAACACTGATTTTCTAATCCTTGTATCTTTGCACCCCAATTTGTCGTAAAACAAATATATTTCAAATTATAAAAAACTATTAGATCATACAACCTAGCTAAGCAAATATCAAAGCTTTTCACAATCAGATTGCAAAGATATATTTATTAGAAATTTTTAGATGGTGGGAAAAAAACTCAGTTCCTTTGACATCATTATCATTTGTCGGGATATTGTTAATCTTAATATCCAACATCCAATGTTCAGGAATTTTAAAATTTTCTGGATCAATTTTTAATCCCTCAACAAAACTGAGCTGGGAACTCTTGAATGGTGGATATTGGGATTAATGCTTGATTCGCTCTTTTTCTCAATCTCGAGATTAACTAATGCTTGTTCTCCTCTTGCTCCTAATCTCCAGATTAATTAACCGATCGGGATTACTGATATCCCATTCTAAAGTTTTGAGCTCTGATCTCCGCCGGGTAAAACCATCATGAGATATCGAAGAGAGATTAAGTTTATCCGTAGATCTGATAGGACGGAGATAAATGCTTAATTCCGAGATTCAAAAAGCAAAAGTTCTGATTTCTGTGAAGTTTGTTCCCTCTACTTTTGTTTAATACTGATTACCTTTAATTTTCATTAAACTAAGCAACTCCATCAATTTATGTTGCACAGACAAGCAAGAAAACGACAACGCAAGAATATATTTCATTCTATAGAAAAGAAACGGCCAGACTTTTTTACAAAGGAGTTGTGTGTTTGCCTCAAACTCAAATTGTCTAATTTATATATCTTTGTAACCTGAATTCCTACCGGGAACTTTTCATAATTGTTGATGTCACTTTTAATGGGTTTATTTTAAATAGTTTTTATGCCAATTCACAATTCTGAATTTTTTGTTGCAAACATTTTGGAAATTAAAGACAATAAATTTTGAAATTTGTTATTAAAAACAAAAAAGTCTTTAAAAAATATTGTTTTTAAAATATATATATATTCTATATTGAAACAGGGAAAATGATTCTTTCCAGATGGAACTAGAGCCTAAGTGGGGAACCACCCTTGCTATTCGTGCCAGGTAACTAATTATTAAAAGTAGTAATCTCTGTTTTGGTGTTTGTTTGTGTGCTTGTTTGTTTGTTTGTTTGGATCTCCATAGAATTTAACACAATCAACATAGAATTTAACCCAATCAGAATAGAATTTAACCCAATCAGCATAGAATTTAACCCAATCAGCATAAAATTTAACCCAATCAAAATAGAATTTAACCCAATCAGCATAGAATTCAACCCAATCAGCAATCAGCATAGAATGCAACACAATCAGCAATCAGCATAGAATTTAACCCAATCAACATAGAATTTAACCCAATCAGCATAGAATTCAACCCAATCAGCAATCAGCATAGAATGCAACACAATCAGCAATCAGCATAGTATTCAACCCAATCAGCAATCAGCATAGAATGCAACACAATCAGCAAAGATTTTTTAACCCGGGCGGTTACGAACATAACCGGCGCTCTATTAAGTTCCCCAATCAAAATTTGAGACGAATCGGTCCTAATTACTTCCAAAAACTTGAAATCTAAACAAATGTGTATTCCTGTATTCTAGGTTCCAGATGAATGTGTTTATATCAAACTCTGGATACTCAGAATTCTCTAAAATTAAGGTAATTCATATTTTTAATTTTTTTTTTTAAATATTGAGATAACAATAATATTAGGATCATGTTTTCATATTTACATTTTAATAAAAGAATCAGTATTTGCCGCAAACGCAGATTTTCTAATGCCAATTACCAATTACCTTCAGATACAAGATATTTCAAAGTATGAAATAAGTAAAATCAAATACTCAAGTTTGCAATTGAAATATCAACAGTTTACACCATCAAGCTGCAGAGATATATTTGAATTTATGTTAATGAGGACACGTACTCTAAATATTGAAAGTTTTTGAAAAGATAAAGTACATTTGGCCGACAGCGATATATCTCGGTTACGATTTGTTTAGTTTAAAATAGTTATCAAGATATTATGAAAATAAGGTTTAAATCGATCAAGAATTAGGTTTCAATATTGACAAGATATATTTACATTTATATATCTATCTAGGTCGGGTTATCAAGTTTAACTCCACTATTCACATGTTCAATCAAAGTTTATATTAAAAACTCTTTTATTTCAAGAATTCATGGCAAAAGTATTCACATTATTTCAGAGAATTTAATTTTTTAAGATTTCTGTTTTATTTGAAAATTTCATTTTTTTGTTATTTTGAATTATGAAATTAAATTCGAAAACTGCATGTTTTGATAGCCATGAGATTAAGATAATTACGATGATTACAATCTCTTTAAATCCTATTAATAGGAATCTCTTTAAATCCTATTAATAGGAATCCCTTTAAATCCTATTAATAGGAATCTCTTTAAATCCTATTAATAGGAATCTCTTTAAATCCTATTAATAGGAATCTCTTTAAATCCTATTAATAGGAATCTCTTTAAATCCCATTAATAGGAATCTCTTTAAATCCTATTAATAGGAATCTCTTTACATCCTATTAATAGGAATCCCTTTAAATCCTATTAATAGGATTTAAAGGGACTGTAAATGTAATTTCAAGTGACCCTCCGTGCAAAAATGGCAATGCCCAATTCATAACGGTACCCTTAAAGACTTTATCTGATCAGTAATGTCAGAGATATAATCCAGGTTTGAAAGTGTTTAAATCTGACTAAAAACTTGATCAGGCAAAGCTTTTAAAGCTGGGTATCTTTAAATGAAAGGTTACTTCAAATTACGCTTACAGAATTTAGAATTAGAATTTAGAATTTAATTTTCAATATTGTGAATATTTTACATTTTCTTTTTTTGTTTAGAAAGGTGTTTATCTTCCATTCTTGATATTGGATGAGGGAATTCCAGGGCCCAATCAGGTTTGTATTCAACATCATCCAGGGACCGGAAAGGGTAAATTTTAAATAGTGGGTTTCTAGAAATCAGTATAGGATGCTTAAAAGTGTTAAATGTCGATTGCCGATACTACAAATTTTTGCAAATGTGATAAAAAATCAAAAAGTAATTTTTGAAAGAAAGCATTTATAAGATTGAATTGGATGTAGGATTTAATATTAAAATTTGAAAATAGAAAATAAAATTATTAAAAAAAAAATTTCAAATATCTATAGAAATGTTTATAAGCTTGATCTGCATATGATACGGATACGTTTTTTTAACAGGGTGATTTAGGATCTGGATCATTCAGTTCCTTTTTTCTTTATCACTTACACTGTAAACATCTTTCAATGCTTTGAAATTGTTCAGTATGTTCTGAGTAAAGTAAAGATGGGTTTAGTATGTTCTAAAAAAAGATATGTTTTGTATCTTCTGAGTAAAGATATGATTGGTATGTTCTGAGTAAAGATATGTTTAGTATGTTCTGAGTAAAGTAAAGATGGGTTTAGTATGTTCTGAGTAAAGATATGTTTGGTATGTTCTGAGGAAAGATATGTTTAGTATGTTCTGAGTAAAGATATGTTTAGTATGTTTTCTGAGTAAAGTTATGTTTAGTATGTCCTGAGTAAAGTAAAGATGTTAATGGGACTAGAAGATACAGTTCAGAGCTTTACAGCAGTTGGTGGTATTCTACTCGGCCTCCTTTGTATGATCCCTGAAATCATTATCTGGTCAAGGAAATAGAAAATTTTCAATCATTATCTAATTTTAAATTTATCTTTTAAAAAAAATAACATTGGGTTCGGATTTTCTTGAAATTGGATGATCAGTTTTTAAGAATATTTCGTTAGGTTTTTGGGGGTTAAAGATTCCAACTATTTAGAAAATAGTTTTTTTCAGCTTGAATATTTTTTAAACATAATTTTTTAAGTTTTTTGATATTCCTGACAAATTTTCTATTATTAGATCATGCTGCTGCAAGACCAAATCTTATTCCGCTGTTAATAAGATATAGAGTCGTGTAATCATTTTCTTCAGCCTCATCATCATTAATTTCATCCTTATCATCATTAATTTCAGTCTCATTATTATTAATTTCAGCCTCATCATCATTAATTTCAGTCTCATTATTATTAATTTCAGCCTCATCATCATTAATTTAGCCTAATTATCCTTAATTTCAGCCTCATCATCATAAATTTCAGCCTCATTATCATCATTAACTTCAGCCTCATCATCATTAATTTAAGCCACATCATCATTAATGTCAGCCTCATCATCATTAATTTCAGCCTCATCATCATTAATTTCAGCCTCATTATCATTAATTTAGCCCAATTATCATTTATTTCAGCCTCATTGTAATTATTCTTTGCCTCATTATAATAAATTTCAGCCTCATCATCATCATCTTCAATTTTATAACCCTTATTAACGAATACATCGAGAGAATTCATCAAATGTCGTATTCTTCACTTTCCGATGATGGAATGTTGCAGATATTTAGTTTTTTTAATTATCTTTAAAACTGTTCCTGCATATTCATGGCTATTTATTTATTTTCGCAAATACTGAAATTTAGGTAATATAGTATAAGATTCATTGACAAATTGTCAAGACGACATTTAATAAATTTTTCCGATGTATTCGTTATTAAGGGTTTCACTGTAGCTTCATTATATTTATCATCTTAATAATTTCATTGAAATCATCAGTATCATCAGGATATCAGCATGATCATCACGATAAAATAGATCATCATGATCATCTTCATCATCACTATCATCATCTTCATCATCATCAGGAGTAGGAGTATCATAATTATCGTCATCAACATGATTATTATCATCATCAATATCATAAACATAATCATCTAATCATCATCATCCTCAATTGCGATATCCATTACTCCAGCTAATTTAAACTTATCTTTTTTAACAATAAACTATTCATCACATGGAACACATTGAAACTGATTTTTTTCTTCTTTTTTATTATTTTGTTTATTATCCTTAATTGCATCATTAATCATCATTAATCATCATTAATTATCATTAATTGCATCATTAATCATCATTTATCCTCATTAATCATCATTAATCATCATTAATTATCATTTATCATCATTAATCATCATTTATAAACCATAAATCAAATTTTCATATCAAAAACATTAAAACATTGTAAAACATTTTGTAAATATTTTTGTAATCTTGTTTGTGATTTACATAAACAGTACTTTTCTACAAATTGTTCAACTCTAACAAGCTCTTTTTCTGTGCCAAAGTTTAGATAAGTCTTCTCATGTTTAAACCTACGCCAACTGTGATTACTTTTACTATTCCAAATTAAAAGATAAGCCTCCTAAAAGTCTGAATCTAAAACTGAAAGTAACCTTAGATAAAAATTTCTTAAAATGTAAAATTTAAGCATTGCAAGTGGCATTTCCATAACAAATAACTTATTTTTTTTGTTGAAGATAACTTTATATACGTTTCAATCAACCAAAATTCTTTTTTTTTACCTTGTCCGTTACATGCAATGCATGTATACGATGTCATTCTTAAACCATATCTTTTCCTTTACGTGATTAGTAAATGTACCATGCATGTGAATAGTTGAATGATGTTATGTACCATTATGTACCGTACTCTACTTATTGATACAAATAATCAAATTAAGATTATTAACTCTAATACAACACGATAAAAACTGTCTTTCAACAACGCTGGGCAATAAAAATACCTTTTTGTACTTTTGTAAAATATCTAAAGTGAATAAAAATGTTAAAATTTTGTTGAATTTCCCTCATGAAAGTTTTAAATTGCTTGAAGCTGACAATTGATAAAAAGATAGAGCAACGGTTTAGACGACAGATCTTGATATTGTGAACAAAAATTATCAAATTAATAATAACTACAGATATATGAATACATAGTAAGAGTTTTTTATGATGTCGTATTACATATTTAAGATCAAATACCGCGGAAAAATTTGTTTAATATTAATATATAAATTGCATTCATATTAATTACCTCGATTTAAAAATGAAAAGAAGTTTGTTAAGAATTATCAAAAAACTTATGACGGTCTATGTATTCATATATCTAGGATTCACTGTATAGCTGAAGATTTTTCTCACACTTTCCTCCCAACTGAAAACAATATTCCCATATTAAAAATTTCCCTCCAAAATAAAGTTTAAAGATTTCCCCCATGCTCAACAAGTTATAAGCTCCAAACTTAAAAAATTTTCCCTAAAATATCCTGTTGGTAAGGTTAGTTTTTTCATGGTTGAGTAAAATACACATTTTTTTTGCCCCCCCCCCCAGAAATTTTTAGGGGGGGGGACAACAAATATAACAAATATTAGTATAAAATATTTACTTGAGAAAACAATATTAACGGGTTTATTTTTTCAATTCTATTTTCGTTGTATCTAATCCATGGATATTTAATCAACACGTATATGTTAAACCAAGTAAAAGTGCGCAAAACAAATATCGGCCCGCTGACGCGCGCGCTGAAGCTCGTACGCCCCTGATGTGAGCTCCCCATTAAAAACCATAATGGCTTCAAGGGGGATTAAATTCTCCTATTTTTTAAAACAAATTTACGTCTTGTTTAATCCGTCCAATTTGTGAAATTCTCAATTGAAAAGCTGCAAGATGATGTTGTGAATCATGTGTTTAAAAAAAAGGTAATGTTACATCGTCTATACGCAACATCCCCCCTACTGAACTTCCGACCTACTAACTTTCCGACCTACTGCAATATCTTACCTACGCCAGCTTTTTATTTTTGTATTATTTGAGGGTTAGGTTTGGTTAAGACAATTTCTGGGCCGAGCGCTGCGGCTAGGACGGGCTAGGGGGCCGAGCGCCGCGGCTAGGACAGGCTAGGGGGCCGCGCGCTGCGGCCACAAGTCCATATAGCAGCTGTGAAACCACGTGCTAGTAGGTCGGATGTGTAGTATAGCGAATTTGGCGTAGGTAAGAAGTGGAGTATAGCGGATTTGCGTAGGTCGAAAAATACACCACCTTAAAAAAAATTAAAATATGAAAGACGACATTTCTAACCATCGAAGCTTTTTTAGTTTACTAGGTAAAACATTAAACTTTATTGTAGTCTACGATTTTAAAGTCTCAAAAAAACCTAAAAAATATCAATTATAACTGTTTAACATTTTTTTATTCAATTATGCAAGTTAAAAGTTCCTTTAACTTGTTTTTGAAATAAAAATCTAAGGATCGTCCCATTAATATCCAAACCAAATATTTATATCAGAATTAAACTTGGGTTTGGTTTGGTCTCAGTTACACGAAATGAAAAAATTCAACTTTCAGAATTAGGGTTTCAAGTGGTTTCACTATTGGTGTTGTTATTATTCAGATAATATTTATTGTAACACAGTTTAGAATTCAACCTGTGATCGGTATTTTCAATAACGACGTAATTTGAGAGAACTAAAATGTCAATGTAAAGTGATCACGATTTACAGGATGCTAAATATTGGTAAATGTGGGGGGGGGGGTCAATCATGGATAAAATATTATAAATGCGCGAGGGATTGCAGGCCTGTAACCAAGATTTGGTAATTGGTAAGTTCCTAGAGAACGAGTTATGGACCCCTCCCCCGGTGCCCCCACCCTCTCCTATCAATTGTGAACGTGGTTATCATTGGTCATGTGGCCGGCCGGCCCCCTAGCTGCGGCGCTCGGCCCCCTAGCCTGGCCTAGTTCGCAACGCTCGGCCCAGAAAACGTCTTAACCTAACCTAACACTAAAATAAAATTTTTTTTATCTTTGTGACAGAAACAATCTCAAGAACTGACGAGGGTCAACCAGACCGAAGTATATTTTCAACAAATGTGGAACTAACGTCTACTTTTTTACTCTAAGATTTGGTCCATCACCATCACTGAATTTTAAATTATAATAATTTTGCTGAAATCATGTACAATATTGACAGGAGGTGGGGGGGGGGGGG